GAGTCTTTCTCACAGATGGCCCACAGCTGGGGTGCAGAACAGTCTATTCTTTCAAAGCAATCTTTCCCCCCCACCCCAAATTATTTATTCTGTCTGGCCAGCATTTTCCAGAGCACAGGACCAGGGTGGCTGGAGTCACTGTGCTGTTAGAGACAGAGACACCAGGCAGCTGTCAGCCCAGGACCTGCATGAGGCTGCGGCCAGGCCCACAGGGTATCAGTTCCCTTGCAGCTGTTCTTAGCAGAGCTCAATAGGCCCTCGGTGCAATTCCCATGTGTGTGCTACAAAAAAGAAAGAAAGAAAAGGAAGGAAGGAAGAAGGGAGGAAGGAAAGGAAGGAAGAAGGAAGGAAGGAAGGAAGAAGAAAGGAAGGAAGGAAGGAAAGAAGAAGGAAGGAAGAAGGAAGGAGGAAGGAAGTAGGAATGAAGGAAGGAAGGAAAGGAAGGATCACAAAACCTTCTATGAGACAGAGATCCACACGAGGCTGTCTGCCTCCCTGCAGCACTGAGAGAGGAGGAATCAGCCGCTTTACCAACTTTGCAAAACTGATTCCTCACTGAAACAGAAAGTTTAAATGCAATGGAAAAATCACTATGCTTTCTCAGATCGGCGTTTCTTCGAGATTCAGAAAGCATCAGGCACTGTGGTACCTCACTCTCCACACAGAAGCTGTGTCCCCTGTACATGGCAAATAACTCTCTTTCAGAAGCAAAGGAGCAAGGTGGCTGATTCTGGGGATGGGCAAGAACAATTCCAAGAATGCCTGGGAAGCATTTGGGTTCATCAACTCTGTCAGCACAAAAAGAGGGAGGCTCCTGATTGGATGAAGCCCGGTTATTATGGGTGGCTGTCGCTGAGGGGAATGGCCCCATGGTTGCTAAGGGAGCAGCATCTCTCTAGAAGCGTATGCCTGCTCAGCAAAATGAGACTCCTTGAGGAAACCTCTGGACTGGTGACATAAGAACCATGTGATAATGTAAATTGTCATTTCTTTAGAGGAAATCTGTTGAGTGTTTTTTTTTTCAGGGTCTTAAAAGGTATTATCAGTTATTGTCACTCGGTCTCTGAAAGTCTCCAAAGGTTACATCCGTGCCAACGGGACCCATCTCCAGCCTTCACTTGTTTAAAGATAAAGGTTCTGCCAGAATTGAAGAGTCACTGAGACACTCCCGTGACCTGGAAAGCAGAAGAAAGCCAGGCAGACATGTACGGAAAGAAGAGACAAGAGGCTCTGGAGGCCGGGAGAGCTTCTGAAGCCTTTGGCGGTGGCCAGAGGAGGACTCACACTAGAGTTGAATCAACCTTGGGTTAGAGGATAAGTCAAATCCTCATAGACCAGTGTGTGGGTGCGTAGGGGTCTCTTCTTCTCGCTTCAGCTGAACTAGAAACTGTCCCCACAGCATGCTCTAGGTCAAGACCACATGTTGTGGGCATGAGGTGTGCAGAACAGAGGCCGGCGCTGTCCCTAGGGCTCTCTGCTCACTCCTTCACCACAGTTCTACAAGGGCCACACTGTGCCTCCACCCAGAAAATGACAAACTGAGCAGAGAGAGTGCCTGGCCCAGGTTCATCTTCCGGAGGTGACAGCTGAGCAGACAGAGAGCAAGGCTGATGGCTGACCGAGTCTGTGCCTCTCCCGTTGGCCACCCAAACCTGAAGCTGTACTAAGGCTGACATCAGCAAGTGCTCCAGCGAGAGCTGCTGGAGGCGGGTGGACCAGTGAGTAAAGGAGAAGAGAGGAGGAGCTCCAGCTGGATCCACACATCTCGCCTTCAACAGACAGTCGGCTTCCCTGGGAGAGGATACTCTGCTTCTCCCACACGGTGGTGATTATGCACCCAGTTCCTGTGTTGCTGTGAGCCATGGAGGAATGGGCCTGGTACCCCCTACACTGAATGAGCAGCCTATTTTCTCTACTGTACAATAACCTTCCGAGTCTTAAATGTTTCTTTATTTTGTGCAGTTCGCTGTTTCAATGGTTTTTATTCGTGACTTGTCAGGTGTTTCATGTTTCCTGTTCATTGTATTCCGGTCCCTACCACGAGTCTAAATTCAACCCATTCAATCAGAAGGTCCCCAACACCAGGCTGTGTGGATTGACTCAGAGTTGTAAAGGCAACAGACATTTCAAAGCACAGAAAAACTGTATTGCGTTCCTGTCTATACAAAATAACGGAGGCCAGTATGTTTGTTTGTTTGTTTGTTTTTCAGGAGAGATTATAGCTAGATGATGATGGGTGATAAACTGTTATACTAGACATAGAAAGACTCCAAGATAAGAATGCCATATGATTAATACATGATTGATAGGTAAATAAATTATAGAGTGATAAGTAGGTAAGCAAATAGATAATAGGTAGGTCATAGGTAGATTGACCGATAACAAATGCTAGATGATAGACAAGCAGATAGATGATAGAGTAGACTTGAACCAATGGCAACTAAATGCAGACTTACTACACTCATTAAACACTGGCTTTTCTATACCTAGTGGTGTCTGGATTTTTGTGCTGTGTCTGCCCTATGCCACCTGACCCAGTTTTGCCAAAAGTGAAGCCTGTGGGAAATAAAGTGACTACTGTCCCTCTCACAGGGGTCACTGGGACAGAGGCACCTCAAGTCCTCGGCAAAGTTGCTGCGTTGTACTATGCCATATTATAATTCTCTCTCTCTCCCTCTCTCTCTCTCTCTCTGTCTCTCTCTCTCTCTCTCTCTCCCCCTCCCTCTCTTTCTCTCTCTGTGTTAATTTCCCAACCCCCATGCTTCAGTTTTTACTTACTCCAACTTTCTTTCTCTATCCAACATTATCTTAGTCTCCTCTGTAATTTTCTCTCCCAGCAGCCCCATTCAGAACCTATCGCCTCCTAGAAGCTGGACGCCAGCCACCATCCTCTGAACTGGCATCCACTTTACAATGGGGGGGGGGTGTCCTGCCCAGTCTGACAGATAATCATACAGCAGGGTTTTGGGGCTCTCCCTTCACACACAATCTGCTCAACCCCCTTGCCCAGAACTTGTCTCTGACCTCACCACCCCCCCATGGCTTCACGGTAACTCTCCAGATCTTGCATTCCCACAGTTTTTAGAGGTTCGCAGGCATATCCTGATCTGAGGCCTGTGGACCACTCCCATCCCGGGGTAGCTGTAAATGTGACCACTAATACATTGTAATCTCAAATGCTTGGACACATCCACAAGAATTCCGGGGATTCACTTCACAGGAGAATGTGGGGCAGCTCACCACGTTTCTCGAATTCCTCTTGATATTTAAGTATGTTCCCATTTGGTCTGTTTCTCATTAACTGTGTATGGTCCCTCCGAGTGCCCCTGCTTGGCATGTACCAGGCTTACCTCGATGTCTACTCTAGTTTCCATCCTGTCCCTTATACGCAACCGCAGCACTTGGTTCCAGGGACAGCCGGACATTAACCAGTGACATTATTTAAATAATCCCTCACCCTAATAACTTAGTAAACAAAGGCAATTTTAAAAGAACCTAAAAGCCAGGTGTAAACCTTCTAGGATACTTATGGTATACGTTTCCGCATGGGGGAGATGGGCAGCACTCCCCCATGCGGAAACGTATACCATAAGTATTTGCTAACTTGAAAGCACAGTATTTGCTAACTTGAAAGCTGTTTTTGTCCCATGTGACTTACAGAGTTGGAGAAACACAGAGCTCACTTCCATCTGAAAGGCCCAGACAATAGAGGCCATTGCGCTTAGGGCCACCTCGCCCCTGTTATAACTACTTAACGTCTACCAGGATGCAGCTGTCGTAGACAGGGTGGAGAAAGAATGCACAGAGCTACACAAACAGGCCAGCCGCCCAGATGGAGCCTACTCTGCTGCCCCTGCTTTGAGTTAACGGGGGAGCCACCACTCAGGCAGAGAGCCACAGAAGGCTACACGAAATGGCCCCACAGGCCCTGAAACAATGCCACCTCACATTCAGATGGAGCTCCCGCCTGAAGGACAGCCGCCGCTGTGGAAGTCGTCAGAGGTGACATTTTAAAAGAATCCCAGGACTGAGTTTTCTAGCCCAATGGTAGAGATTTCTCTGCCAGATAAGAGGTTCTGAGTTTGATTTCCAGCATGGAAAGGAGGGACGGTGGGAGGGAGAGAAATATCTTCATCAAAGAGAATCGCAGAGAAGACACCAGACCTTGGATAGAGAGAGCTCACTATGCTGTGACCGGTAGCCTCATGAAAGGGTGGAGACCATTGATACGGAGTTTATGGAGATAAAGGACTTAGTAGCTGAGGTTGGAACCTGAGGCCTGGGAGCTGGAGCTCTGCCTCCCCCACTGTGCTGGGCTGTCCTGGTACTTTCCACACCTTTAGGACCCCCTCTCTGCCTCCTGTGCATCCATCACACTGCCTGCATCCTCACTAAAGTGAGTTCCTCAGCACACCAACACTAGCCGAGTTTTTGCATTTGCATGCACATTTCTCTCTCTCTTTCTCTCCCTCTCTCTCTTGCTCTCTCTCTCCCTCTCTTGCATTCTCTCTCCCCCTCCCTCTCTTGCTTCCTCTCTCCTTCTCCCTCCCTCCCCCCCCCCTCTGCAACATCCCTGTAAAACGCCCTACCCGATACTGCTTTCATTCAGCAGACAAGGGACCTGAGTGAAAATCAAGGAGTTAATAACTTGCAGCAGTCACATGACCAGAAACTTGCAAAGCCCACCTGCTGGATCTGATCCACAGCCCTGTCACCCAAAGCCCCATCCCCCAACTAGCAAAACTGAAGTGTCTCTCCTTTATTTTCAATGTGAATGCTGAGCAGAGAGGACCAGGCCCCTGTCAGCATCTGGGGCCATCGTGAGCAGCTTGACTGTTACCACAAATAGCTGATGACAGGAAACCAAGTCAGCCTTGCCCTTACCAGTTGCCCATCTGCTGTGTCCAGAGCTGCAGAATCTAGTGAACAGCTGAGCGACCCCCGCCCCGAACTTTCAATGTATGTATAGGTCATTGTCACTCCAGGCTTTTACATTCAGTTTTGTAAGCTTTTATTATATATATATTACTTTTCCCACGAGGAGACTGCAGAAGAAGCTGGCTGGAGGGCACGCAAACCTCATCCTGGAACTACTTGTCTTTCTTCTCGAAAACAATCTCCTCCAGAACAGCTTTGTGCTCAGACACTGGCAGAGGCTGAAATCTGCACAGATGCCAGAACAAAATGCAATGTAAAACTAAATATCTCAGGAAAAACCTATCCACTCCCTGAAACCCGCGGTGGGCAAGGCTTCCTCAGTCTCGCAGAGGGCCACTGCTCTTCCTGGCCTCTATCTGCAGTTATGAACACACAAGGTCAGGGAGTAAACAAAAACACACCGTCCTGAGGGAAACGGCAGGGGCACAGCTACATTTCCAGGATGCATGAGGGTCACCCCCGCCCCGCCAGCCCTGAACTACCACACTGGGAGTGGGTGTCCCAAGCCTGGTCCTCTCGGGTGTCCCAAAGTCCAGGGAGACTCTCTAGGGATTGAGTGTCAGTAAGTTCAGAAGATATTTCCAGAGCGAAGGTGGAGTGCAAGCTTCTGCTTCCAGTGCAAAATCAAACCCAGTGAAACTGCACTGAGCCTATCTATGGCTGTCAACACTAGGTACACCCAGAACCGCCACGAGCTGAGATCGGCCTCTGTCGGGCTTGGAGCACAAGCTTCCTCCCTCTCTAGACCTCAGTTCCTCAACGTGGCCCAGAGCTGTAGTCTTAGTCATAAGAACAATTTCCAAAAAAAAAAAAAAAAAAAGTTTAGATACAGAGCCCTGGAAACATACACTAATTGAATTGAAGGGCTGGGTTTACAAGGTGTCTAACTGCCTTCTGGAATATTTTGCACTGAATTAGAGAAAACTACTGTGAGGACTCGGGCATTACGCTGGCCTGTCCCTGTCACCTGGCAGAATGCACTCAGGCAGAACCCTGGCCAGCCCAGGTGCAAAGGGCCCCTTTAAAAGACCTCTGCCCAGCACCCACACCACCTGCATCTCTACCTGCATCTTCTCCAGAAGGGTCTTTCCGTCCACTCCCAATAGCGTGGGCTGAGCTGTCAACAAAAAGAAAGCCACAGAGACAGCGATGGCAGAGAGAGTGTGACAGTGACACATGAGAATCAGCAGGCTGGACTACAGAACCTTCAAGGCGGCCGGCTGCTCGGCAGCTGCAGAAGCCACTGCTTTAGAGTAGCCAAGGCAAACAGAAAAGGGACCATGCGCGAAAGCAAGGTCGGGGACGAAAGGGTCTATTTATTTGGCTTACACCTTCTTCGGTATCACTGCTCATCACTGAAGGAAGTCAGGATGAGAACTCGAACAGGGCAGGGACCTGGAGGCAGGAGCTGATGCAGAGGCCATGGAGGGGAGCTGCCTACTGGCTCGCTCAGCCTTCTTTCTTATACAACCCAGGACCACCAGCCCAGGGATGGCGCCACCCACGATGGACTGGGACCTTCCCCCATCAATCATTAATTTAGAAAATGCTCTACTGGTTTGCCTACAGCCTGATCTTGTGGAGGCAATTTTTCTTTCTGATTGGAAGTTCTCTCATCGCGGATGACTATAGTTTGCGTCTTTGCGTCAAGTTGACATGAAACTATCCAGGGCAGCCATGGAAATAGGAAGCTGACAAGAGAGAGGCCTAGAGCAGAGGTTGAAGACAGGTGAACCCAGAGAAAAAGAGTGACAGGCCCCAGTCACTGGAAAATTCTAGGTAGTTGTCAGACCCTCAGGGCCAAGCGTTGTAATGCTGGCTCATGTTAAGGAAACCCAATTTTAAACCTACACAAAATCAGAGGCACTGAGTGCTGTCAAGGCTGAGGTGTCCTGACACCTAGGCCTGCCCTGAAGCTGTTAATCAACCTCAGCCAAGTGCTCAGGAATCTCCATTTTCTGTCCCCACAAGCCATGGCATTTTAAGTCCAATGGACCTGACATCCAAGGTCCACAAGAGGACTGGAACACAAGAGGCTACCGCCCACTGCGTTCTCACCTGCTAGCTGCTACCTCTAACCACTGCCCAGCACCGAGGGACTCAACACATCGCCACAGACCAGCCTGTGAGAGCTCTTCCTGCCTACATACAAGGTCTACCCAGTAATGCAAATGGACTCCAGTGAGGTGATTGGTGACATCGCCATCTCTGAGTGATACTCTAGCCAAGACCAGAACGATGAAACTGGGAGAAGAGGGTGTGAGATTTATTAAGACTGACGGCAAAATATTTGTAAACCAGCAAAATCCAGCACCGCCCTTACCCCTTGTGGTCTGTTGGACAGACAACCTTGCTAACTCTGGTTAGCAGAGAATAGATAACACACTTTCAAGGTCTTTGGAGTCAGGATGACTTAGGTCAGAGGGTTCCAATTCCAGAATCACCTATGTACGTGTGATATTTAAACCTCCAGTGCAAGTGGTTCTCAACCTGTAGGTCACGACCCCTTTGGGGTTGAATGACCCCATCACAGGGATGGTCAAAGACCACTAGCAAACAAAGATGCTTGAATTACAGTTCACAACAGTAGCAAAATTACAGTTATGACGTAGCAATGGAAATCATTTTATGGTTGGGGGTCACCTTAACATGAGGAACAAGAGAGCTTTTCCCAGCTCTCTCTCCGAACTCCTTCCACAGGTCACTTCTGCCCATGGCTCCACCCCCCAATGGGCGTGGTCAGTGCCACAGAAGGACTATCTCACTACAATTCCCCTTTTAGTCTAAAGAAAAGATTTAGGCTTAATACAAAACTAAATACAAAACAGCGAATAACAAGTGTGCTCTAAGAAAAGGAAAATCGAGAACAAAATGACCTACATATCTAGTCCTAGGGTGAAGGCATAATGGAGTTTACAATAGAGTTGTCCTAAGCTGGAAAACGTAAGTCTAGTACCTAATATATCTAACTAGGAAGAGAGAATAATAGTTGTGATAGTTTAATCTTCAACCTCATCAAGACCTGAGAAGGAAAATAACGATACTAGAGTAGACAGGAAGTGCAGATGGACAACTTTCAAAAGGTGCAGCAAGGACAGAAACAGCAAGCCACCTGAACAGTCACCCTAGGTCTCACAGCAACGTTGGTACACCCAGTTTTGGCTAAGGCCAAGAGAACTTGACAGGCCACAACAACAGCAGGGAGGTAGAATGGCTGTCTTACCCTGACTTGGCAAGGTCCAGCAGTCTTCTACATGTGTCTGCTGCAAGCACATAGGACTGCATGTCCAAATCAGTGGTCAAGGTGGGGGCAATTCTTTGCCCAACAGGCCATTAGCTGAGGCGAGAATGAACTCCAGCAGGAGCATCAACAGTGTCCAACATATTTTCGGGAAAGTGCACGGTGCTGTCAGGAGCAACAGTGTCTCATGTCAATGGAGTACTAATATTAAAACATTTAAATGTCATGTTCTGCACGTCTATGAAGTGACTGAAGATTAAGCATCTATATCTGACTAATCTCATAGGTACAGGAAATATGAGTGAAGGTAATCTGTAATACTCAGGAACTTAGCTAAAAGACTGATTAAAACTTCCCTGAGTAAAGCAGGAACAAATACTTAAACAATGTAACTATATACATACATATAAATCCCTAAAATAGAGGTAGAGTAGAAATGTCAAGACAAGAGGTAGAACTATAAAGGGCAGTATGATAAATATCCCAAATTGTATCAATATACAAATGTCTTGAATACAAGAAAAGTATACATACATAGAATATGGTAAAAATAATGTGCATAAAACATCGTAAGTGGAAATATTTCACACAATATAACAAAATATAAACTTAATTTTACATAGCTTACCACATATAAGAATACATAACAATGTAATCTGTAAAATACTATCTCATTCTTACTCAAATTCACAAGAAAATAGGCTAATCTACCTATATCCCATCTAAACCATACCTTTCCCAACCATTCCCTATTCCTGTCTAAAAGATAAACCCAAGTGTAAGCATCACCTTCCATACCCAACCCTAAATAACTAAAACCAACCCAAAGACGATGACTATTATCCCAAAATTCCAAGGATAGGGAAAGGGGGCGTCATTATCTTAAGGTTACTTCCTGCTGAAATGGGACGATGATTGCTCCAATGGATCCTGTAGGAAGAAAAATTTTTAGCAACCAAATTTCTCAACAGAACTGGCTGTGACATATGTAGCTAGTCTCTGTGTGGCAGAAAATTCTTGACTGTAGTTCTATTTGAAACTCTGGCCAGGGTGTAATAAAAAGGTGCACCCATTACAGCTAGCTAGTCATGAGTTGTCTTGAGCAAAACAGTCTCAAACCGGTTTTAGGGTGATGTTTATAGTTCAGATGCATCAGGTTGAGTCAAGTGGAAACGATGATGTGGGGCCCCATCTTCTTTCCAGAGAGTTCAAAGACTGCTGTTAGAAATCGTTATTATTCCTTGTGGAAAAGTTACACATCAATATTAAAGTAAAATTTTCAAGTTTTAAGGTATGCATTAGGGAAAGACAATAAGCATTAAAAGTATGTGAGAAAATTAGGATTTCAGAGAGAAAATTACATATAAGAAATGAGTCCCCAGATTTTGTTTTATTTTGCCTTACACCAATTGGCTTCTTGATTTAAGGCAGAAACCATGAGTTTAATCTTAACAACATGCTTGAATTTAGAGAAGGAAAGCCAAATCCAACTCCAAAGCCAGCATTGGTTTACATAAATTGGGACTTCAGGAATACTAGATAGCAGAGAGAAATAGATTTCTGTATAGAAATAGTTTACTACAATTAAATATTTTTTTTTTACCATATATCAGATTCTGCTTCAGATGAACACCAGGAAATTCTGCCCGATCCTCTCCTGTCCGAGTCACGCCAGCAAGAGAGCTTTTCCCGGCTCTCCTTCCGACTTCCTTCCACAGGTCACTTCCGCCCATGGCTCCACCCCCAATGGGCGTGGTCAGTGCCACAGAAGGACTATCTCACTACAAGGAACTGTATTAAAGGGCCACATCTTTGGGAAGGTTGAGGACCCCTGTTCTAGAAGAAGTAGAGAGCTTTGCGTCTATTTTCTAGGGGGAATATTTGAGGGAGGAAAGTGTCTTCTGCCTTCTCATTGCTCTACTTATCACCAAGGACCAGTTAGTACTTCTCAGAATGATGTGTCTCCTACTACCTTGGCACTTCCAAGGGCTCTGGGGCATGATGTAAGATGGCTGTTTGGCCCCATCCATATAGATCCTGTTTAATGAGTGATATACAAAAATCATCCTTTTAAATGATTGGGGGTGGCGGATTGAGACAGGGTTTCTCTGTATCTGTTGCTTTGGAGCCTGTACTGGAACTCACTCTGTAGACCAGGCTGGCCTCAAACTCACAGAGATCCACCTGCCTCTGCCTCCCGAGTGCTGGGATTAAAGGCGTGCGCCACCAATGCCCAGCCCCATCGTTCCATTTTTAAGAGGCCATTCCCCAAGAAAGAATGAAAGGGAGAAAAACAGAGAGTGGAAGAGAGAGAGTATTGCCCGTTACTAGCTGTACTTCAAGAGACAAAGGGATCTGGGGTCAAAACCCAACGGAGGGCATGTATGCTACCATCTGCTTGACTTTTGTTTTTTTCTTTTGAGGCATGTGTATCACTATGTAGTCTCAGTTGGCCTTGAACTCTCAGAGAGTTGCCTGCCTCTGCCCCCTGAGTTCAGCTACTATGAAGTCCTAGTTGAGCAGAAGACCCAGTGCTACCCCCCCCCCCGGAGGAGGAAAAAGAGTGGACCTCCATAACACATGAGGTGAAACGTGCCCTGCCTTCCTGGGGAGATTGCTAAGGCACTGGTTACCTGACATCTTCCTTTAAAGGATGTCAGGCTCCAGAGCTGGAGTAGTTGATGAATAACCACTCAGCTGAAGTTTAAATGGGAGCCTTGGAAACCACCGGACCAGGACAAAAACCGAGGCACAATGGAACTAATTCCAAAAGTTTAAGAAGCCAGAAGAGAGGGTGTAAACACTGCTTGGCCATTACATAGCCATTCTAGATCACCTTCTAAGCTTTTTATTTATTTATTTATTTTAAGAGCTCTGAGGCTTAGGCATGTTACAGACCCTTGCTCTCCGAACTCCTCATGGGAGGAAACTACTTTTGGTATATATCACTGCGTGCCAGTATCACTTTAAAGGGGCAGAAAAGTGTGCGAGCGCGTATGTATGAGCTTACGATCTGTTTTAGGTTTGCAAATTTACTACCAATGGGGGAAAGGTTCAAAACTGAAATCTGAGCACTCCAGACACCCGCCCACGGGAAACTGTCCAATGGGTGTCGAGGTGGGTGTTTGCATGTAGCACATATTTCCAGTTGCATATATATGATTTGCTGTTTCCTCCCCAAAGGCACACATATTTTTTGCAGAGACAAAGCAGGGACTCCATTTTAATCTTTTGGCCCAGAGTCTCCGCGTGGGTTCTTTCTTTGTCATTCAGACTGTCACAGTTGTTATTGTCACAAGCAGAAGGAACAGAAAGGCATCCCATTTGGGCTCTGTTCTTTGCCCGCCCTCACATTTCCAGGGGAGGAGACTAGAACTGGAGGAAAGGGGTGGCCCTGTGTTCTGGTAGGATTAGACATGTGTTCTTGTCCCTCCCCGTTCTCCAGCCCCACAAAGACCCACTGAGTGGTTTAAACTGAGGGTCTGCCCCAGCCCAGACCCTTTGATCAGAGAGAGCTGACCATCCCACCGGCAGCCATGTGTGTCCAGTGCTGCCTGAAAGTATCTTCACAGTAGTGTTTTTTTCTGGACGAGACAAGGAAAGGCAGAATGGGCAGCCAGTTGTCCTGAGCTGGCCCATTATAGTCCCTTGAACAGCTGCCTGTCAACACACCTGCTAGAAATAAAACTCAATGGCTTTCACCAAAGCTCTCTGGACATGACGTTAGGACAGGATTTCATCTCTGCTGGTGCCATGTTATCACCCCCTCTCCCATACCATAAGGAGTGCCCATTCTTTCTAGCCTGGTTCATTTAAAACCCAGCTGACTGAAGGGAGAGACTTCGAAACTCCTTGAACTACTAAACAATTCATCCCACCCTTCCTGAGCCATGAGGATGTTTGGAAAAACCACAAACAGCCTGGGGAGTGTCAGGAAGGGAACCAAAGACAGCATGCTGTTTATAGACCAGAAACATTACGGAGATTTTATTCTGGCTTGGTTGTTTGGATTGTAAAGAGAATACAGACCCTCCCAGGGACCGGCTGATAGTCACAGGCTATCATTCACAAGAACTACCTCCATAATGTGTGGCCTCAGCCCCAGGGGGGCCACAGAGGCAGACAAATGATGAAAGGGTATCAGGAATAATTGCTTACCTAGTTCAGAGCATAAAGAAAACAAGGAAAATTTAGAAGATGCTTCACAGACCCTCTTAAACAGGGTCTTATCCATTGCTTTGCCTACTGGGACAGGGCAGGGGGCACTGTAAAACAGACACAGCATTAAGACTAAAGAAAACAAACAAATTCTATGTTAGGATCCAAACCAGGCAGCATTTGTCACATGTGAAGGGTCAGCAAAGCTGAGCACCAATCCCAGAATGCCCAAGCTTTCTTGAAGAAAAGTCCGTAATGAAGAAGAAACAAGAGAGAGTGTCCTGTGGATGCCACTACACTCTGAGTCCGGAATGGCGGCCAAAGGCCCATGTAGTAAAGCAACAAAAGCAGTTAAGGGGGAAGTGGTTGATTTGGGGATACAGTTCTAAGCAATACAGCCTCTCAGCAGGAAATGTGTCAGCAAGAGTTTGGGGCAGCTGGTTATGCTGCATACAAAGTCAGCACAAGGGGGAAATGATGGCTGGCGCTCGGCTCACATTTTTCTTTTTCATCCAGCCCAAGACCCCAGCCCTTGGAATACTTCCTACCACAGTTAAGGTGGATCTCCACCTCAATGAACCTACTCAAGATAACCCCTCACAGGCACACCCACCGGCTAGTCTAGGTGACAATCAGTATTAGCATCACGGAAGTGCATGCTTTTTCTGGACATTAGAGAATGCTGGAATCTTGCTTTTCTCAAGTTCAAATCCTAGCCACACAATCCTGTCATGATGAACCATGGTACCACGCCATGGAACCCACTGGACATGATCAAAACATCTAAACTGGAAGCCAAAAGAGAAAAATCTCTTCTCCTTGTGAGTTGAACATTTCAGGCCTCTGTTACAGTAATAGAAAGATGACAACGTCCCTATAACATTTTGAGCTGAATAATGCTCATCCACGTGAATTCTCGGGCTTTCTAAATAGTGAGTGTTGGAGACATGTCAACAGTTCGGTCGATCCTGTGTGCCAAGTCTAAGGAACTGAGAGCCTGTCAGGGGACAGGCTCCCAGTTTGTTGTGAAGAGCAGCAAGCACAGATATAAAAGAGGAAGAAATATCAGGTGTCAGGCTCAAATGGGCAGAGTGTGAAAGCCTTCACTGAGTCACGAACAGAGGGGGCTCGACAGGTGAAATCTTAAGATTCTTTAACTCTTACCAAATATAATTTCCTTTTTAAAATTAATAAATGTTAAAAATCCCATAGTTAAGTTAAGCTGGCTATTATTTTTCAAAAGGAAAAATTTTATGTACCAATACCAAAGATTTTTTTTTTTCCCCTACAGAATTTATCTGGAAGGAATCATTGCCTCAAGGGGACAAAAGTTCAATTGGAACTGTCGGGGCCAAGCAAGAGGAGCCAACTGTGTGGCCGGCTCTGGGGTTGTGCCTCCAGTCTTAAAGAAGACCCTCCTACGTTCTAACCCACTGACACTTCCATTTATCATTTGTCCCAGATATTTTGCCACATCCCATGCCAGAGCATGCTGGGCCCTACGCTTGCAGATGTCTCCGTGAAGGCGATATGATCAGAGGAGCAGCAGAATGGAGCTGTCATCCTGTTTCAGCATCCACTGTGGTGCAGAGCTGCTAACAGAGGAAGGGTGTGAGCCATGCCCTTTAGCCCTGGTCCTGACCGTCCCTGCATTTCATAAATATCTGAGCTGCTGGGCTTCTCGGTTTTGTTCTTACAGAGAACACCGAAAATGTGAAGATTCCATCCCAAAGAGCTAATAGAACCACGAAATATGCTTTGTGGGTGTTAAACTCCTTGGGGACTCTTCCCTTCTAGACACCAAACAGATTCTTACTAAGAAGGTGCTCAGGCCCTCTGTGGACATGCTGAGGCCACAACACTAGGTAACCCTGACTTCTCAAATGATACCGTAAAGCAAACTTCCACCCTGCTTCCTCATCTTTAAATTGAGTTCAAACGGCGCTGTGGGCCCTATTTTTTATTTCCCTCCTGAGTCATACTAACCACGGTCAAGCTTTAAAAAAAAATCCCAGCATATCTAAAGTTCAACTTCCTGAGATGAGTTCATAAGCCAGTAATTTAACACTTGCTCATCATTAAATCATCACCAAATGGCCATTCATGAGAGTCACTTTCTACAGCTGCCCGAGGCCAGCACATACGGACGCTCACTTTCAGCTGCCCAGGATGTGACTCTGTTCACATGGAAGTTCCTGTACTTCCAAGGAGCCTGCTGTCACAAAAAAAGACAGCATTTTCTCACTCTCAAAACTGCCCATACGACAGTGAGTTGACACCGTCCATATTGCCTTTGTGTCGCTATAAGCTAAATTTTGTACTCTGGAAATTCATATTTTGGACCCACGTCCTCAGTAGCCCAGAATACAACTATCTGGAGAGAGGGAGGAGCTTAAAGAAATGGTCAAGTGGGTTTGCAGGTTTAAGTCCCAACCCAATCTGAGGCGCTGTTATAAGAAGACGAGAG